AGAAAAAATCAAAAGAAATAAGCTGTACCTGTTAATATGGATAAATCACAGCAACATTGAGATCAAGAAGTGTGACTGCATCTGTGTGCTCAAAACCATGCCGACAGCTGTGGTAGGGCTACGCAAAGTAGAACTAAGAAAAAGTCAAAAAAAAAAAAATCATACAGTATCAAATGGGAACTTTGGTACCTCTTTCAGGGAGAAAGGATATGAAATCTTAAAGAAACACACAAAGAACTATTAAAGTCCATGTACACCTTACAGCGGCTCTTACATTATAACATGTTCTGTACAGGTGCAAGTTAAGCAGATCTATGAAAAAAGTAACAAGTTAAGTAGAATTTTGTGAACAGTTTTTCATTTGTTTTGAATGAGTAATACATGTATGCACATATGAATTTTAGAAACCACCTGGCTACTTTTCCTCTTAAAATAGTTGTCATTTATCTTGGAAGCATGTTACATGTCTAGCTTAATTCTTTCTAATTAAAATATAGGGCTTTTTAGTCCATTAAGTCATCTATTCTATACCTCAGGAGCATTATACAGTTATCTTTATTTATATTGTGTACATTTCTTGCTTCTGTGTGTGTGTGTGTGTGAGAGAGAGCGAGAGAGAGAGAGAGAATGAAAGTACTTGAAAACATCTATAGAAGGACAGTTGTTGAAGTACAGCAAGTTGAGCTAATGCTTTAAATACTTGTAACCCCTGCTGGATGCCTGGCTGCATTACTGATTTTTTTTCTTAAGATTTATTTATTTTTCTTGAAAAGACAGATTTACAGAGAGGAGACAGGAAAACATCCTATCCCCTGGTTCCCTCTTCAAGTGACCACAATGGCTAGAGCTAAGCTGATCCCAAGCCAGGAACCAGGAGCTTCTTCCGGGTCTCCCACACTGGTACAGTGGTCCAAGGACATGGGCCATTCTCTACTGCTTTCCCAGGCCACAAGTGGGGATCCAGATGGGATGTGGAGCAGCCAGGGACACGAACCGGAGCCCATATGGAATCCCAGCGTGTGCAAGACGAGGATTTAACCACTAGGCTACTGTGCAGGGCCCTTGTTTGGTTTTGGGCTTTGGGTTTTTTGTTTTGTAGGTTTTTTTTTTTTACAATTGATTTATTTTTAGGGGCTCAGTGTGATCGCTCAATGGCTAAATTATTTATTTTATTGGAAAAGCAGATTAGATTTACAGAGAGAAAGATTCTCTATCCACTGGTTCATTCCCCAAATGGCCACAGTGACCAGAGCTGAGCCAATCCAAAGCCAGGAGCTGGCAGCTTCTTCTGAGTCTCCAATGTGAAGTGTAGACTCGCAGGGCTTTATGCTGCTTCCCCAGGCCGTAAGAGGGAGCTGGATGGAAAGTGGACCAGCTGGGACATGAACTGGCATCTATATGGGATCCTGTACTTGCAAAGGGAGGAGTTAGCCAATTGAGCCAGTAAAATCTTTTTTTTTTTTTTTAAGATTTATTTATTTATTGGAAAGTCAGATATACAGAGAGGAAGATCTTCCGTCCAATGATTCACTCCCCCAAGTAACCACAATGGCCAGTGCTGAATGATCCAAAGCCAGAGCCAGAAACTTCCTCCAGGTCTCCCACGTGGGTGCAGGGTCCCAAAGCTTCGGGCCGTCCTCGGCTGCTTTCCCAGGCCACAAGCAGGAAGCTGGAAGGGAAGTGGGGCTGCCGGGATTAGAACCAGCAGTCATATGGGATTCCAGCATGTTCAAGGCGAGGACTTCAGCCACTAGACCGCCATGCTGGGCCTGAGCCAGTAAAATGTTTACAGTTACAGCATACCTACACCAATTGGAAATTGCCGTTTGGACCATACTTTTGGAAGATTGCTGACATTGAAATCAGAGTTTATGCGTTTCTGAAAATTAAAATACATGCAAATCAGAATTGTGCAAAACAGTGTCTGCACTTCCTCCCTAGCACAAATGCGCACTTTGTTCTTATGTATGTGTGTGCATTTCCCCTCTTCATTGCTATTTAGGTATTTCTTTCCTCCTAGAATTTCAGTGTTGTTTTATAGAGGAAAGTTCTTGATCTATACAGCATATTGGCTATATGCCTTTATTGAGTCATTTTGCTGTTTGTTCCAGTTTTTTCTTTCTGTTGGATTATCAAGTTACATCACTCATCACTGTTATCTGCAAATGATCTTCTCACCCCCTCCCTTACGATGCTTGTAACTCTTATTTTTTGTTGTTGTCTAGTTATATTGGTTAATATCTGCATAACACTAAACAGTAATAGGAATAGTCAGCAACCTTGTTTCGTTATTGGGCGTAAAGGAAACTCCTCTAGTGTTTCCTCTAAGCCTTGTATTAGTTTGGAGTTGAGATAGGTGCAGGTTATCATGCTGTAGTGCCACCAGACAACCTACAGTGCCCAGAACACCCTAACAAGAAAGAATGGTCTAGTCCCAAGCATCCATAGTCCTGAGATTAAATAACCTTTTTCTAGGCCTACTTTCAGTTTACAGAAAGTTTGAGATAGATGCTTGATATACACTATGATCAGAAAGAATATTCCGTAATGTGAGGATTTTTACGAGCTAGTTGACCTGGTATCTTCATCATACCCATAGCATGAGGGCTTTGGGGCCTATTGTAGATTACAAGAGATACAAAAATGTAACAGGACCAGCATTGTGTAAAGCTGCTGCCTGTGAAACCAGTATCCCATATGGGCACTGCTATATGAGTCTCACTGTTCCATTTGCTGTCCAGCTGCTTGGTAATGGACCTTAGAAAGCAGTGGAGGATGGCCCAATTCCCACTTAGATGGGATACCTGCAAGAAGTTCCTGGCTCCCAACTTCACCTCTGTCTCAGACAATGCCACCACTTGGGAATTGAACCAGTGGGTGGACAGTCTCTCTCTACCTCTAAGTCTTAAGGAGAGAAAAATATACATGTACCAACCAGATGTAGTACCTAGAGCTCTTTGGATTCTAATTTGAATAAAACATTGCAGGAAAACCAAAATTTTCTTGGAAGAATATGTGAAACAGGCTAATCAGATAGCCAACAGTTAATTATGGAAGCTTTATAATGGGAATCCATTGTGCTCTCCTGTAGAATCATGTCTTTGTTCAAAGATGTACGCAATCAAGATGTCCGTAATGTTTATGCATATGAGTTTTTTTAGTTTAAATTTCAGTAAGAGCAATAAAATGCAGCATTCCTATTCCGGCCCCTTCAGATTTTGAATCCTCATAACAACTTTCCTATTATTGACTTGTCTGTGCTCCTGGAATAGACACTGCCTAAAAAAGGGAGCATGGACTTCCACTGGAACACAAATTAGAGTTTGTGGACTGTGGTCTCAATGATCTTATCCCAGAGCTTACGTGCCCAAGATTTGTTCACAGAAAGACAATTGTCTCGTAGTCAGTCAAACTAGGCAGCTCAAGTGTATTCAAAGATAGCAATGAAAGAGTAGACTTACATGGTCAGTTTGCATATACATACATACAGAGAGAGAGAGTGAGAATGGAAAATAGACCTCAAAAATCAGGGGGTTGGTTTGTTTGTTTGTTTCATTTTCTCTGTGATCTCCCAGTCCCCCTAATTTCCACAGTCTTGCTGTTCAACTGGCATCAGATTGGTTTCTGATATACCAGATTCTCCAACAAAAGTTCCATATCAGTAATGACATCATACAGATAGCTGATGTGATGAGATTGCCATTTTCCTTCTGCGAAAATGACCCCAAAAAATGAGTCTAGCCATGAACAGAATATCAGACAGCCACAAATTAGTGGCCATTCCAGAAATACCTGACCATTGGTCCTCCAGTCTTTTAAGGTCAATAAAAATAAGACAGGTTGGCGAAGCTGTTAAAACCTAAATCTTAAGGAGACATAGGACTGAAGTACCGTGGCGTCCCAGGTAGGATGCTGGACTACTGTCCTAGGAGATGCTCCTTGGAGTGCGTACGCACACATCTGACACTTGTGCGTGTCCAAGTCTCTGCATCCGTGAGGAAGCTTCACAGACATGGCTCATGTCCTCACCTGATGTAACTAAGCACCTCTGCATGTTTGAATTTCTTGAAAGTTCTATGAAAATTACTGATTCATTACCTTTGTCTAGGCTGGTTTTTCTTGAGCTCGAAGACCTTTGGCCTGGTGAATGAAAAAAATATTGTTAAGTGCATATTTTACGGAGTGTTCAGAAGCTGTTGTTTCTTTATTAGAGGCATTAAAGGATTATTAATGACCTGTTCTGTTTGTGAACTTGTTGAATCTTCTCCACACTGCTTCCATTTTGTATGTGTGTGTGTGTGTTGAAAATGACTTATTTCCTTTTGTTTTCTTGATTAACAAATAGAATGATGTAGCATATTCATTTTGTCATTTTCCTGAAGCAGTTAAATAATTTAGAGCAAAGCTGTGTCTATTACTATATTAGGAATCTTCAAGTACTGAATCACTAAAGTGATATGGGATGTTTTTCTTGATTCTTTATATAAAATTTTTATGATATAAAATATATTATTTAATTGATTGATTTCAGAACATCCACGCTAAGGCCTTAGAACCAGTGATGTCTTAGATTCTATAAAATGTATGCAGGAGGGGCTGGTGCTGCAGTACAGTGAGTTATGCTGCCCTCTACAGCGCCAGCATCCCACACAGATATCAGTCCAAGTCCCCGTTACTCTAGTCCGGATCCACCTCCCTGTTAATGTGCCTGGGAAAGCAATGGAAGATGGCCCGAGTGCTCGGAACCCTGTGCTCATGTGGGAGACCCAGTTGAAGCTCCTGGCTCCTAACTTAAGCCTGGCCCAGCCCGGGGCATCGGACCATTTGGGGAGTGAACTGGTAAATGAAAGATCGATCTCTCTCTCTCTCTCTCTCCCTCTCCCTCTCCCTCTCCCTCTCCCCCCTCTCCCTCCCTGTAACTGTGTAACTGACAAGAGAAGACCTGTGGTGGTTCTCCCAGCGTCTGACAATGTGCTGAGTTCTGCGTGCCTGTCTTGCAGATGCTCGCTGTGTGGCTATGTGTGCAGCCATCCTCCTTCTCTGAAGTCTCACATGTGGAAGCACGCTAGTGACCAGAACTACAACTACGAGCAAGTGAACAAAGCTATCAACGACGCAATTTCCCAAAGTGGCAGGTATCTCCTGTGCCCCGCTCCCTTCATGGCCGTAGGTACATTAAAGCTGGGCTTAAATCTGCTGCTCCTGCTGTAGGATTCATTCACATTTGCCATGTTCTGCTTTGTTTTGAAGGGCTCTAGGGAAAACCCCTGGAAAGACTCCAGTTAGTGAAGAGAGAGCCGAGCCGGTCACTGGAAGCTCAGAAAGCATGGTGTCGTCTTCAGAGCTCATTTCCCAGGCCCCTGGTGAAGTTGTAGATCCCAACCAGAATGAGAAACTGAGCCCTACAAGTAATACCTCATATGGTTTAGAAAAAACCTCCAGTCTGGCCCCTCCTGGTATGGAGTATTGTGTTTTACTCTTCTGTTGTTGTATTTGTGGTTTTGAGTCAACCAGCAAAGAAAATCTTTTGGATCACATGAAAGAGCATGAGGGTGAGATTGTAAACATCATCTTAAATAAGGACCACAACACAACTGTGAACACGAGTTAGGGGGGCAGTCCCTCGCAGAGGAAGAAGAGATCTCTGTAAGCTACAGCCTCACCTTTGTTGTCAGGTAGCTGACCTGCCAGGCGCAGAAAGAGTTAGTCTGGTTTTCCGAAGTGACAGGTGCGACTTTGAAACTGAATCTGCTGTAAAATGAATTCCGGGAGGGGAAGCAGTGAAGGGAAGCAGATGAAGGAAGAAGCAAAGCCGTGAACCCGTATCAGCTCTGTCCCCCCTTAGTGTGGAGTGTATTCATTATCAAAAGCTTATGTAGTATAGAAGTGCAAGAAGAGTTAAGAATGGGCTTTTCAAGGAACTGTTGTAAAATGTATGTTATCAAGTGTGACAGTCTTCAGCGGAGCCTCGTTGCTTCATTCTCACATTTCACATGCCAGCTCTGGAATGACAGGCCTCTGGTGAGAAAAGGGAGGCAGCTTGCACAGGGTTTCTTTCCCTGTCACTGACAGAGTCCGCAAGGAAACCACTTAAATCATTCCCGAAATAGGTAGGAACTGATCTACTCAATCTAAGATTTATCCCTTATGTCCCCAAAAAAGAAAAAGAGACCTAAAATCCAAATCTAGATTGTCAGTTAAAAAGCAAATTACGGCCTTAAATTTACAGTGAATTCTTGCAGACAAAGGAGGAAATGAATTCCCGTGAGACTTGAAACAGATCTCAAGTTTGGAGAAATGGTCCGTTGAGCACAGTTCTGAAAAGGTTCTCCGAGTGTTTGACAGGACTCCCCCTAGCTACCCAGCCCTCTCATCCTCTCGGCTATCTGAGATCTCACTGCTAATCCAAAAGCGGCTGCTGAAGCAACAGGGTATCAGAATTTACTTTGGGTCATCAAGCCCACAGAAAGGAGTTGAACTCTTAAGAGCTAAATCAAGAAGTAACTTTCAGAAGCCTTTTAAAATCAGAACTGCTGTTGAGATTTTTTTTCCCCTGGAGTTCAATTTAGCAGAAGAGGAATAACCAGATGTGACTAGAATATAGTAGAAATTCAGGTTCTTTATAAAAATATGATCAGCACAAGCAAATTGAGTAACTGTAGGATTTCTACCTAAGAACTTAGAGATGGGATTCACAGGGTGACATAAGACGTGTTAAAGACAGAAGTGAAAGTGCTTCTGCCTAGACTTGCCGCCAGAGAAACAGGATCTGATTCATTTCACAGGCTGCAGTGTAGCGCTAGCCCATTCTTCAGGCATTGTTTTATTAAAGTGAATTCTGCCTGCAAGACCAAAGGCCCGTGCACCATTCAGTGCGCCGGCCGTTACGGTGCTGTTCTGAGTTTGTGAGTATTCTGAATGTGGATTTTAAACATCTAGGATTGAGGCTGCAACTCTGCTGAACTCAGAACATCCAAAAACAAAATGTACTGAACGGGCTGCTCTCTATATAGACATATTTTAGAAAAGAATTTTGTTTCCAAAGTCTGGTTTAAATTGAATTAATCATTTAAGATAGTGTTAGGAACTGTTTAAATGGGGCCAGCTGTCTTGAAACATTATCTGATTTTTCTTTAATTTTTTTTTTATCTTATCGATGATATTTATACAATTTATTTTGTCTTTATAGCTCTTTGATTTAGGTAGCTTTAACTTATATAGGAAACAATCCACTTCTGATACATGTTTTCTGAAAAGATGGCATGAATTTTATATATACTAAGTTCTTCAAATCCACTGTATGTGGATTTAAACTCATTTACTCCTGTTTTCAGAATTGAAATATTTGTTTCATTTCAAATTCAAATAAAATGTCACACTTTTATCACTTATATTGTTGCCACCCATGTAGGCAAGTTTTTTCATTGCCTATAACTGACTCAGTGGTGTTTTTTGGGGTTTTTTTGGTTTTTGTTTGTCTTTTTTTTTTTTTTTAAATAAAATCTGGTATTTTGAAAGTTAACAACCTTATAGGAACTTTTCTTTGCTAAATTTTCCTTGACTTTCATTTTATGAATCATTTGGATCCCAAAAATTTCAATAGTGTGACTATTGAAATTACCTCCACCTATTTCCATGAACCATTCCCATTGATTACTACTTGAGTCTCTCCATTTGGAATCACGGATTTAAAATTTCCCTAGCTTGAGGGGAAGAATTCACCCATGAGTTGGAAGCCTTTCAGCTTTCATTGGCTTCTGGCTTTTGAAGGTCCTTCAAAGATTTCTGCCTAGCTCGTAGGAGGAGCCAAATACCACAAATGTTCTACACCTTCCTTGTTAATGTTTTGTAACAAGCCTTAAGCTAGCAGTGTCTCTACCAAGAACAATTGAGTTTTCTTAAAATAATAATGATTAAATATGCAATTGTAATAGTAAAAGAGATAGCTATCAAAATCATCAGTAGGAATTCAATTCATCGAAATGTCATCTTAACTGCCGTTAGACCTTTTGGGATATGATGTTTGTCACAATTCCGAACACCTATAATTCTAGGACTTCATAGTGGAAAGTCGATTTTTGTAAGGAAACCCAACTGGATAAAGCAAAGATGGTGAGAGAAAAGTTGATTATTCTGATCATTATGAGAACTATTTTTCAGGGCTCTGACGTTCCCCCCTTTCTCTTAATAAGCCAGCACCTGGTTGGAGGCCCCCAGTGTTCCCACATACCGTGCTTACCTCGCATCTGCTCTGTAGACCCAGTGCTGAGGCGAAGCAGTGTGACTGTAGCTGGCTGGAGCCTTCTCCAGGTCCTCCGTCTCTAGGGTAGCTGTTGGTGGTTTCCTTGTCCGGAGGCCAATGGTAGGCATCCATGTTTACATTGTATCTTCCCGCAGTGTGCTTGGCTTGACAGGAGACTGAGACGCGTTTCTATTGAGACTTAACTATATTTTTAGTTTTCATAGACACTTATTTAATCTTTTTTTATTGTACAGCAAGGTGCTCTAAGTAATATTCTATAAAATATATTTAATAGAAATTTGAGTTTGATATTCATGGACATGAATACATGTATTTTTTTAAGAAATGAGTATTGTGTAACACTATGGCATTGCTTCTATAGCCAAAGCATAAAGATTTCTGGAACACTGACATGTAAAGACTACAGTTAATTCTGACACTGTATCTTATTAAAATAGGATGATTTGCATTTTGTAAAATTATCCTGCACATCGAGCTGCATGCCTTAAAGCTGAACCTCTAGGATTGCGTTCCTGGTAGGACAGTTCATCTGTTCTGAACAGTGAGGCAAGGTCCATAGCGCTTCTCCAACTACCTTTGGAAATACTGTACAATGTTAGAATAATTTATTTTGCTTTACACGAGTTTGTCATGTATTGACTTTAATATTGTATTTTGGTAATAAATTTTTTTGTTATAAACATTGGTCTCTAAGTTTTATTGGTAGTGATTCACATCCATTGCTATCTTGGAAATGTTGATTTGACAACTTAGCAAACTGGGTTTTTAATAACTGGATTTTAAAGAATTACAAGCCTCGAAGAGGGCAAGCCGAGTCTTATTTGCCTTTTGGTGGCTTGTTACACTGTTGCTGACCAGCATTAAACTGTGTGATGCCAAGACAAGTGAGAAAGCATAGTTGTTTTCATTTTTAAAAGTCCAGTGAACTTGAAGCTCCCTTCCTTGCTATACAACTCTTCATGTTATTCTTCAACTCACACACTTACATGATAATTAGCCTTCTCTTACTGAAGGCCGAAGATTGCAATCCTGAACTCGCACTTTGGGTATTTGCAGCCTGTCCAGGTCCCCTTTGACAGTGAGGTCTGTTGCGTCAGTGATACCCAACATCAGCTGACTATATCATTGTTCTGATTGTCGATTTGTGCCCTAGAATCCTGGGCCACCTCTGCTTGAAGTGACCAAGGCCAAAAGCTGCAGTTCTTGTCCTGTGCCCCCTAGGGGCAGCATCATCACATCCCAGCACTGTGTCGCTGAACTCCAAAATTAAGCAGTGAGAAAAGGTAACGTGGGAAGGTTGGATTCTGTGGTCCAGTCTGGAACCATGTGATCTAGCATGCCATATGACTAGTATGCCATAAGTGTAAGATCCACCCCAGTTGCTAAGACTTACTACCAAAAAACAGAAAATTTATCTCATTATTAGTGTTCTATGTTGTTTGTATATTGAGATCATATTTTGGGTTAAATAAAACATTAAAAATAATGTCACCTGTTTTTATGTTTTTCCTGTGGTTACTAAAGTATTTCCAGCTACATTGGTAGTGTATGGTATGTCTCTTGGACTGTGCTGGCATAGAAGATGGATTGGTCAACAATGGCCCTCGTGTAAAATTCTGTTGGAACAGAGCCACACTCGCTTGTTTATGTCACGAACGGCTATTTTCAAGCTGTAACAGTGGCACTGAGTAATTGGGAGTGGCAGAAACTGTATGGCCCACAAAGTTACCACAAAGAAGAAAGCTTTCTGTGGTGTTTTTATTAGTTTATAACTAGTTGCACTGTTTCCTCTTCTGTCATTTTTATATGTTGTCTCCAGCTCTTACGCATACTTTATGACTTCAGCCCAACTCACTGATTCATCATTTCAGTGTTTGAAGACAGACACTGGAACAGGTATACGTCCCATTCGAGTACCTGAGTGAGACGCCTCCCTCTGCTCCTGATTGCAGCGTTGTCCTATGGCAGACTTCATCGGGCAGAGAGGGTGGCTCCTGCCACTCATTTGGGAGATCTGAATTGAGTTCCTGACTCCTGGCACTGGTCCCAACCAGTGTGTGAGCCGGTGGATAGAAGGTCTCTCTCTTATCTCTGTCTCTCTACTCTGTAAATAAATAATGCACAAAATAAGTTGGATAATACTACTGTGTGAGAACTGTTTCCTTTTGACAACCTTACAATTTTAGTTTTCACGGCTTCACCCCTTCAGTGCCCAAGGCAGCTGCATACATAACCGTGGTATTGGGTAACCACTGTATACAGTCCACACCACTGACTCGAGTAGTCCAGCATATAAAGAATTTTATTTGCACCTCTTTGTAATGAGTAGCATGTGCGAGTCTAAAGCCAAATTTGTGGGGGAGGGGAAGGGTGTAGTTGGCTTTGGTATAGAGCTGTCGATTAAACTGGCAGAGCTAAGAAAAAGTCACAGTAGTCTCCAGCGTACATGTCTTCCAAATCAATCAGCAAGGATATAAAATGAGAACGTTCTTGGCCCCATAAATTCTTAGAGTAGTTTCTGTTTTTAATTGGTGCCATATGATACAGACTTACTTAGGTAGAGTGTTTTGCTGTATATCGCAGGATCCAAATGTGTGTAAGATGCTTAAACCATTTCCAGAGTCCTACTTAGGCAGTAAAATCCAGTTCCAATAAGGGATTACAGTTCTCATGTTTCTGTTAGTACATTAATTTTAAAAATTGAGCTCTTAATTAGTTTAATCATTTGAATCACAACTGATTATGAGAAAATGACAGGGTTTTTTTTTTTATATACTGTTTTTTTTTTTTTAAACAAAATTATTTGCCTTACAAATTGTGGCACAGAGGGTTAAGCGACTCATCTTCCATATCAGAAAGCTGAATCCAGTCCTATCTCATCTCAGCTCTCAGTCTGACTCCCTGCTAATATACCTGGGAGCAGGGATGATGACTGGGGCACTCTGCTCCTAACAGAACGTGTGGTCTGAGTTCCTCACACATGGGACATGTAGACTGACTTCCTCACCCGTAGCTTTGGCTAGCCCCAACCCTGTTTGTGCATTTGAGGAGTAAACCAGTAAATAGATTTACCTCTCTCCATTACTCTGCCATTCACATAAATGAATTGAGTTAAGCAGACTAATTTTAGGTATCTAGTATGAACTTTTTTAAAACTTCCCAAATGACCACTTCCTGAGCCACTCTGGAGCCAGGAGCATCTTTGTGGTGTCGCTCATAGGGGCAGAGGCCCAAGGTTTTGGACCATCCTCCGCTGTTTTCCTAATCCATGAACAGGGAGCTGGACTGGAAGTGGAGCAGCTGAGACATGAACTAGTAGTGTCCATGTGGGTCACTGGCACATTCCAGGCAGAAGCTGAGTTCACAGTGTTGGCCTTTTATTTGTTTATTTAATTTACTTACTTAAGATGATTTAAAAGGCACAGTTATGGAGAGAGAGAGAACTTCAGATGGCCACAGTGGCTGGAACTGAGCCAGAACTGAAACTAAGGCTCTTTGCAGGTCTCTGAGTGTAGGAACCCCAACATTTGGGCCACCCTCAGCTGCTTTCCCAGACAACTGAGAACGGGATCAGAGCGAAGCAGCAAGCACTGCATCCAATACCCATATGGGATATGCTGGTATCACAGACAAGAGCCTAACTCTACACACAAGGCTGGCCCCTGGCATACGCTCTTCATGCCACATTGTGAAATTGTCAAATGTTGGTGCCTTTTTAGTTCCTAACTAAACCATAACTGTAAAAGTTTCTTTACTTGAACCAGGTGTTTTATAAGATTCTATAATGGCAAAATTGAATGTTAGGTACTTACATGATAATACTAAGGTTCTTGAGTTTTGTTTGATATCAGAAAATAATGAATCTTTGGCCATGGTCTCAGACCCAACTATTTCATCTTTATGATTTCTCAACTTCGTTGCTTGTTGAAAGGTAAAACAAGAGAGTATATTTATCTGTGTTGTTGCCACCAGTACTAGTAGTAATCAGAAATGGTCTTGAACACTGCGATTGTAGCTGTGTACACAGTAGGAAACTGACCTAACAAGACCTTCAACAAAATAAAACTCATTGCTCATTTCTCATTTCAGACCTTTTATTCGCAGCCACTAATGTTATTTTAAGGCTTATTGTCACCACTGCACTGCACATCTCGATTTTTTGTACTTGTCATGAATTTTAGTATTCATATTTCAGAAATGATGTGGCTGCCTTTTCCTGAAATAGGCCCATCAATCCACATCTTGCTCTTTTTGTTTGTATCTACAGTCCTATTTAAATTCTGTATTTCCAACCACAAAAGGTGCTGGAAAATGCTATTTCAGGCTATTTGAGAAAAAGTACAGCAGGAGCTGGTGCACATCTTCATCTGTATTTCTGTTCCCTTGAGCTAGCATTGCGGGAAAAAAAAGTCATACTGAAATATTAAACAACTGTAGAAGCCAGTGGTTGCAAAGTTATCTTCATTTTCCAAAACCTTCTCTATAGGAAAGCGGAGGATATAGTTGGTGAGGCTAAACCCGGAGTGGTGCTGTCCATGTCCAGAGGACCACGGCCTGGGACAGCAACTCTTCAAGGAGACCCGACTGCACCCAGGCTCACATGGGCAACCCCAAGCACAGTGCACACACACATGCTGATGAGACAGGCTCTACTGTGCTGTCCGGTTTTGTAATAAAGGAAGAGGGAACACAGGTGAACCCTCCTAATGGGAAAGCAGCCACAGGGGCTGGCCTAAACAAAGAAGCCATGTGGTGTCCAGCCCGGCTGGTTTGGGAGGTAGTGAATAGCCTTACCCTCGGTAATTTCCCATGACTCTCTGTGTTCATTTCTCATGGAGTGTGTGTGTGTGTGTGTGTTTATTAATTCCAAAATCAACAATATATGACCTAGCTCCTGCAGCTACCTGGATTCAATGAGTGTGTAAAAGATCTTGTCAAAGTCCGACGGAATTCTGGATGGCCCTTGAGTCCAGTCCTAGCAAATGGAGGGTTTTGTGAAGATTACAGTCCTGTAGATAAAGGGCTTGGCAACATAGGAGCTTGAGCAGTTGCTCCTCTTAACTCTGGGGAGAGAAAAATTAAACTGCCTTTGTAAAGCAGTGCTGTGAGTTACAACCTTGGAAAGGCAACTTCAGAGTATGTGGGTTTGTGTTAAAAGATAACGCCTAAGCCCTGAGAATACACCCAGAAAGACACACCTGTTTTGTCAGTCCCTAGAACACTGTACACAATTCACATTTTACGTCTCAAAAAATGGCAGTCTAGGAAAAAGTGATAAAACATCACCACTACACAATCGTGTGCGGTTTATGTAATCATTGATACAGAATTCTTCTTTTGCACCTATAAACTGCCAGTAAGGGCTTATTTTCACCTGCCATGTGGGATACAAGAAAAATGGAGGAAAAAATGGCCCTTTCCCAAGTAAGCGTAAGAGCTGGCTGCATTGGCAAAAATCAGGCCCTAAGAAAAGAGAATCATACTTAGAAGGTGCCACTGGCTGGATGGGAGTGAGTACTGTGCATGGGGCTACTTGGGAAAAG